CCCCTCGTTTGAAGATGAAGTGTTTACTGTTTGCCTGTATTTTATATTTCATTTGCTTAATTTTTCACTTTATTGTTTATTGATAATAGGAAAACATATCCATGTAATGGAGATATTTTATGTCGAGCATAAAAAGTTGAGAAGAGCAACACCCACAAATATGTTGGAATGAGAATGCACAAATTAAAGGTCTAGAATTTTATAATTTATATAATTAAATAATTTAAATATTAGAGTATGACTGATAGTAATTTGAAACTATCCACTTATTGCTACTTTTTCATAAGGAACCAATTTATCTAATTTATGAATGTAAGGACCATTATTTCGAAGTAATACGTTTTAGACTAGAGCAACCCTAGTGAATGCTTGGCAACCTCAGAGACACCTTATAGTACTGTGAGGTGAGTACTTCCGTCTTCGCGCGCAAAAATTGAAGCTCGTGCAAGAATTGAAGCGGAACGACCATCAAATGCGTCGTTCATTAAGCAAATCGGTGCAAAACGAATAGGCCATTACCACGATTTTCAACAGATATTTTTGCTTAGCGACAAAATTGAATTTTGGTTGAATGGGTACGTTAATAGACATAATGTCGCATTTGAGACGTTAATAGTCTATATGCCATTATTTAGATCCTAAGCTAAATCCTCAAAAAGTCTCTATTTGGTGTACTCTGTATAAAGAGGAAATAATTGGGTTTTTTTACAATATAAAACATGTGATGTTGCTTTAGATCGAAAAATCATTGATATGACATTAAATCACACATTCCACATTTCATTTTTGGTATTGTCTCAAAAATTTTATTTAACATATGCGTGTATGTAAAAGAAACCTCGGCATCTTTTATAACCCCACTCAGCTACATAGATATCTCAGCGAAAATTTAATCAACATTGGTCTAGTCAACATTGAAAACAATAAAACAATATCAGCTTGAAATATAATATGGATTCACTCATAACACTCGTTCCAGTTTTGATTGAGTAGACAATTGAGCACACTCGATTTTATATGTGACGAAAACGCGTGGACGCTGTGCTTTAAGGGTTTTGGTAAGAATAGTAGAGCATATTTTAGGTTAACTCTCCGTCAATTAAATTAGCATTGACAACCGAAAATCCTCCTTTTAACAAAAGTTAGAAATATATTACGCTTCCCGCACATACATACATACATACAATTTTACATCAATATCACTTAGGTTAATTACTCCGTTATTGCATTGAGGTTAAAGCTACATTTGCAAATGTCGAATGTAAGGGAACCCGCTCATGTTGCACGCCACTTCCAAAAATATGAAATAAATTTATTTTAAGTTACCGAACTGTGGCAGCTTGTGGCGTAGCATATATGTATAACATAAATTTCGCAATTTTCAAGGCCAATGCTTTTAAGGGCGCTTTCTGTTCATTGCTAAATAAAATGTATGAAATATTTATGTGTATGTACATATGTATGTGTGTGTGATATCCCCCACCAATGACTACAAATTGCATGCTTGGAAGAAGCCTTAGGGCATTTTGCCTTTCTGTAAATATATTTTTGAATTTTTCTAGTTATGCATGTGTATTTCAGTACACTCAATATGTAACTAAAATAATGGTGGCGGCTTCAGCAGCAAAAAAAGAGGTAACTTTTAAGTGCCAGCAGCTTTTTTCGTGCTAATGCGAGTGCTGTAAGCTGCAAGGGGCGCAAACGCTATTTTTATTTACTTTTATTCAATTTTTTATTTCAATGGCTAACGGCACTTAAAAATAAATGCAAAGCGTTGATAATGGACAGTCATAAATTTTCAACACCAAAATTTGTTGAATGAAATATGTTGGTTTAGTGTGTTTGTATAGTTGTGCGTGCATGTATGGCTGTATATGTGCTTTTAGTGTATATATATTTGTAAAAGAATGCAATATTGCATCAATCGTGTTCTCAATTCATATGCATGTGTTTATGTGTGTTCGATACGAAAACTCTTTAGTACAAAATTCAGCAAATGCGAAGTTCAAAATTTCTCTATTTCACTTTTTTATCTTTTTTTTTTAGCAGAATATTTATTTTTTTGCTCTCTTTTTCCTTTGCTATAAGCTACGGTGAAACAAACGTGCAAATAATGTTTTAAAAAGTGTTAAACGAAAATTGGTTTCAAACTCACATAATTCAAAATCAGTACTTAAGTTCATGCAAAAGTCTTTACAGCACTTTTTTTTACAATTTATCTTACTAAATATTGCTTAACTACTGCAAAGTACATACTAGTGTTTCGTAATTACTTTCTACACTAAATTGGCTACTAGCGTATGCATGGTGTGTTTGGTGAGTTGGCAACACTGTTGCGTTTAGTTTGATTTCATTTATTTAATGCTAAATTCACTTATTTACGAATCGATTTCATTGCTCTAATGTATGATTGATAAGCGTTTACAATTCACATACAAATATATGCATATACAGGGTGCGCCAACTTGTTATACCTAACATAATGTATTATATACCTTTTGTGAAATTTTTCAAAACTTGAGTTTTTAAATTTCGATAGGTTATACCTTTGCCACTAAAATATTGAAATTTTAAAACGATATCACAAATAGTTTTTGAGTGACAGCCTTTTAAAATGTTTAATCTGATACATCAGCTCATTTTTCGAATTTGCTTGCGTGCTAACTTGGAAACAAATTAACCGATCCCTAACAATTTTTTCTGCATGTTTTGAAAATATATAGTTAGTTTACAAAACAATAAAGTACCAGTTTTTGATCTAAGCAAAAATCAAATTCGATAGAATAACAACGAACAAAATTTTGTTAAAAATTCTATTTTTTTTAAGCCACTATTTTATAAATATCTATTTATTAAAGACCTTAGGTCACACAATAACAATAAAAATTTTTTGTTTTTGGAGGAACATTTTGAACGCCGTTCGAGAGATCTTTACTTTCTTTTTCTTCACAATGTGCATAAAAATGGTATTGATTAATACAACTTTCAAAAAAAGTATTTGGCTTACCACTCAGAGCAGTTTTAGTTATGGAAATTTCCAAAGAATTGCTGTCAATAAAAAAATTTGACATAGGCAGGTGATCAAGAACTTCAGCTTTAATTTCCCTTACTTCTAGGTTGAAGGTTTATAAAATCAAACCAGTAAACTTCGGACTATATTTTATTGCTTTAAACAAGCATTCGGTCAGAAATCATCGTTATACCACCCGCAATTTCCAAAACACAATAAAACCAGAAAAAAACATTTGCTACTATGAGCAAAAAAGTAAGACTTGCTCAGAATTTTAAAATACTCAATATATTCTTCAAAATCTATGTCGTCCTCTTCAAAGTAATCACCCTTGGAATCAATGCACTTGTGCCAATGTATTTTCGAATCCTCGAAATAGTTGTTAAAGTCAATTCTGGAATAATCTTCAATGCGTGTAGCGATTCACGTGTAATGTCTTCAATTGACTCAAAACGATATCCCCGGAGCGGTCGTTTGAGTTTGCTGAATTGCCAGAAGTTACACGGAGCTAAATCAGTTGAATACAGTGGTTGTGGAACAATATTTATTGAAATCTTTATCAAAAACTCACGACGAATTAATGCAGCATACGACGATGTTTTATCGTGGTGCAAAAATCAAGAAGTGTCGTCTCATAATTCCAACCACTTTTTACGAATAGCTTCACCCAAACGACGCATAACTCTCAAATGTATTCACTATTAACAGTTTGGCCGGTCGGATAGAATTCGGAGTACGCTACACCTCGGTAATCGAAAAAAATGTCAACCTTGATTTTTGATCTAATTTGACGTGTTGGGCTCACCTTTGCCACGATATTCGGTCGATTGATCGTCTGTTTCCGGGTGGTATGCATAGATTCAAGGCTCATCGCCAGTAATACTACGTTTCATGATATCCTGGTAGTCGTTTCAGAGACGTTAGCGCGACGTTTGTTTAAAAAATATAGAGTGGTTTTGGAACCAATCGTGCGCTCATTTTTTTTTTTTTCAAAATGATTTTCAGTAATCCTTCCGATTCCAACAATGCCAGTAAGATCTCTGACTGTTAATCGGCGATTCTAAAGCACCAATTACTTTATTACATTGGCGAGTTTATCATCAGTTGTGGTTGATGGCCATCCTGGATGTTATTCGCCGTCAGCGCTTACTCGACCCTCTTTGAATATTTGTACTAATGAAAACACTTGATCGCGAGAAACTATTGGCACTGACGGATTTTTTACAGTATTCCGAATGGAATGGCACCATAAATTTGATTCCGCACACAAAATTTAATGGAACTTCTTTGTTTAAAAATTTCACTCATCGTAAAAATCGCCGAATGCACTTTATGTACTTCAGATAGACAAGCGTATACTAAACTCTATTGACTATTTTAATGTGACATTTGGAACAGAAGTCACGGACAGACATGTTAATATAAAAAAAATATACATATATATTTCGCTGAATGGATTTTTGTATGAAATTGAAATTAAAAAGTCTTACCATTTTTTGCCCACAGAACCCAGAAGCTGTAATAGCTTTCACAGGTACTTTGTTCTGTACCATAAAAGGGTGTAAAAAGATATTTTGCTTGGTTCCAATTGTTCATTTTGTCAGACAGCTATAGCTATAGTGATCCGATATCGGCGGTTGGACAGCTTCTTGCTGAGAAAAACTGGGGGACCAGTTCGCATATATACATATAGACAGTAGACGGACATAGAGAGATATGGTGATCATTTTACATGTTTTATAGGGATTTCGACAGTTCCTGCTGGGTGTTATAACTTTCATGGAAAACACAATATACCATGTTAAGGGTATAAAAAAACAACAATAATCATCATTTTGCTATGGTCAATAGAGGTGACCATTTAATCTATTTAGTATTAGAGAAATAGTCCGTTTATTCAAATATTACGAAAAAACATTATCTTTTTCAAATTAACCTAAAAGATGGCACACCCTTTATATGCGTATTTAATTGATTTTTTTGCACTTACCCGTATGATTTTCTGATCATGCATTATCTTGCGTACGCAATTCACTAGGAATGTCAAAATCATGCCACCCAAGATTAGACCGAAGACAACCATGATAATGTAAATATGCTCAGATACTTCCGAGGTCTCTTTCTATAATTAAATATAAAAAAAAATATTTGGAATTACTTAGGGATAAGTAAAGCAAAGCTACATATATAAAATAAATTTAATAACAAGAATTTTGTATATACTTATGTAAATATTATATTATTAGATTTTTGACCCAGTAATGCATGTAATTGAATTTTTTTAAGTTCGTGCCAAGTTTGATTTCCGTTTGTCGTTTTATGTGGCAGCTGTTTGGTTACGTCCAGAAAAGTCTGGAGACTTCGAATTTTTGATTAGAAACATGGTTTATGAGAATAGTTCATCCACCTCTGTTAACGAGCTTAATAAGCTAAGAATATCGTTGTGTCTATGGATCAACTCAACCGGCCCAATGCTAGACTCGTACCAAAAGACTGTATTGGCTCAAGAGCCATTTCTGAAGTCGACGATAATAAATAAAATATATGAAAATGTAATTGTTTTAGTAGTTTGGGTTAAATTTGAGCGGATGGTATATAGAAAGCGCTTAACTGCGTCGCAGTGCAGTGTGTTTACGAAATAAGGTCGTTTCTTCTCTGATATATTATGTCTTTAACTTAAGGAAAATGCGTTTATCTGAGATATCTTCAATTATGTCTTTACTTTGTCCAGCGGTGCTTACCAATGACAAAGATTGGAAAGGAACGTTCCAAAATCCTTAATAATCTCTTACAACATCACCTCTTAGAGAAATGACAGTGATATACAAAACAAAATGAGATGATAAAGCTGATAAAGAAACCTGTATTTGAATGCTCCATAAGACCTTATTCAAAATTGAAATAAGTGAATTACCCAAATGATTGTCACAAAAAACACAGTCTTTCAAAAATATTTCACAGAATGGAATTATTCTTTAACAAATGTTGCTATGAGTATGAAAATGGGAATCAGCTCGATTCAGTGGAAGTTAATTAGGAAATGAAACTATGGAGAACCACAAATGGGTAACAGTTTTGATTCTAGATTAGCTTATTTGAGTTTGTATTGAATAATATTACATTATGAAAATCCGCTTAGGTGGTATTCCGAATATGTGTGCGAAAGAAAGAGTAAAAACGCTTCACTCTCCCCACCTTTAGGAAAAGCAAGACGAAAGAGTGACCTTTGGCGAGAGCATCTGTAGTATTTTCTGACTGGTTTCTTTAAGCTTCCCAGAATTAAAGTAGCTAACCACTACTTCAATCGAAGTGATTGTATTTTGAAATATTTCTTTCTCACTTTGTATTGAACTTTTGGGAATAAAAGTTATCAGCGACAAACTTACATACTTTTGATATCTAGTGAAAGGCTTCAAGTTCTCTTCCAAACAAACCTATATCATAGTATTCTTCTCTAAACTTATACTTATGTATTGTCAATTTGTCAGTTCGATAGCTGCATTTATAATAAAAATATCTGCCAGTAAGTGCAGTTAACAATAACAACATGCGCACTTTACAACTTTGACAGGTTGATAGCTCATTGTTCGTTCACCATTTCAGTCACTTGATAGTTCATTCGATTCCATTTAAGAGCTAAACTTGACCAATTCCCACTGCAATTGCTGTCAACATAAGGAAGCACGTACGACTTTAACATGCGCATGTACATATATATATACGATATATGTAAAATGTGTGTATATACATTAGGGTGTGCGTTATGTCTCAAGTTGATTATATTTACGTAGACTAAAGATCAAAAAATTCCATGTTAAATATATCACTTCGAGAAATAACAGATACCCTAATAAATAAATAAATATATATATATTATGTGATACGCGGCGATTGAACTACTAGCATGCAAGCGAGAAAAAGTAACAATTGTTAGAAATCACTTACATTACAACCCTCCTCGTCCCAACGAAATTTGCAGTTGTCACGTAAATTACACTTGAGTTTGCGGTCAATGCATGTGGCATCCTCACAATCGTATTCTTCGTCAGTGCAAGTTCCTAGTATTGACAACAACAAGAAAAATTTAATAATATCCAAAATAAATCGAATTAAGTGCAAATATGGAAGAAAAACTGCTAATAAATAATATCTAGCCTTTTTGTCATCGCTTAAGTCAAAATTTCGTTTATTGGTTGTCATGCGACGCTATCAAAATCCTAAAGACATGTTTATATTTTTTTACATCTCTATAAAAAGCTGAACAAAACCACTGCACCGAAGTCTCTCTCTTTATATCATATATCATGTATAACACCATATGTATACCTAATTGAATGTGCAAACGTAACCGATCAACGCGTTCCGTTCATCGGAAAATGCTTTGCTAACCACATTTTTTGATATAAATACTCCTCGTATTGGGGTTACCTAATAAGGGAACTAATATTTTGTGAAATCTTTCTCCGATTCTGATCGGCTAGTTTGAATGTCAGACCTGAACAGTTCATTCGAAGATTGTAATGTCTTCTTTAGTAGCGTAGACACGGCTTACGCGGTTATAGCCGAGTTAACAGCAACGCGTAAGTCTTTTCGCAATTTTACCGCAATTCGAAATACCAAATGTAGCCACCTTTCCCACCTGATCTCTCGAACGGAGTGGAGGTCTTTCTCTTCCTCTGCTTCCCCCGGTGGGTACTGAAATGCGATATTCACCGTTGCCAATGCGCAAAAGAACCATAAATCTTTCGCAGAACTTTTCTCTCGCAAACTCGCAACGTCGACTCATCCGTTGTTGACATCGTGCAAGCCTCTGCACCATATAGCAGGACGGGAATTATGAGTGACTTATAGAGTTTGGTTTTTGTTTACCGAGAGAGGACTTTGCTTCCCAATTGCCTAATCAGTCCGATGTAGCACCTGTTGATAAGAGTTATCCTGCGTTGGATTTCTAGGCTGACATTGTTGGTAGTGTTAATGCTGGTTCCATGATAGACGAAATTATCTACGATTTTGATGTTCTGACTATCAACAGTGACGTAGGAGCCAATTCGGGAGTGCGACGATTGTTTGTTTAATGACAGGAGATATTTCGTCATTCCCTCGTTTACTACCAGACCCATTTGCTTCGCTTCCTTATCCTGTTTGAAGAAAGCAAAACGTTAGCGTGATATAAATATCATCGGCGTACGTCAGGCACTCTTATAAAATATTGTGCCTTCTCGATTCAGCTCAGCAGCTCGAGCTATTTTCCCCAGCAGTAGATTGAAAAAGTCGCTCGATAAAGAGACGCCTTGTGTGCAACCTCTTTTGGTATGGAATGGCTCGGAGAGGTCCTTCCCGTTCTTGACGGGATTTTGCTACTGCTTAAAGTTTATACAGCCGTATTCGTTTTGGGGGGATGCCTAATTTAGACATAGCGGCATAAAGGTAGCTGCTTTTTGTGCTATCAAAAGCAGCTTTGAAATCGACCAAGAGTTGGTGTGTGTCGATTCTCTCTTCACGGGGCTTCTCTAAGATTTGGTGCATGGTGAATATCTGGTCAGTTGTAGATTTTCCAGGCCTAAAGCTATAGATAAGGTACAATCAGTTTTTTGATGGTAAGCTTTAATCTTTCTCACAATGCATTCGTTAGAACCTTTTATGCGATGTTTGGGAGAGTTATCCCGGGTAGTTGGCGCAGATTGTGGGGTATCCCGTTTTGTGGATTGGTCAGAGTACACTTAAGTTCCAATCCTTGCGCATGCTTTCGTGTGTGAATAGCTCGGTCGCTTTGTTGTTTTTTAGACGGGTAGTTGCTATTCGAATTTCGATTGGGGAATCGGGTTCGCCTTCCCCTAGCGTTATTATTTCACTGCCATTTAGTAGGTTCGAGAAGTGTTCCCTTCATAATTTTAGTATGCATTGCTTAGTAGATCACCGCGTAGGGTTTTACGAAAGTGTGCTCCGGTCTTGAAAGCTTTTTCTTTTTGTAGAATTTTCTAGTATTATCCGTGTCGGCTAGCTTCTCAAGCTGTTTGTACTCACGCATTTCGTCCTCTTTCTTTTTGCCTGCAAATGCGTCTCACTTTCTTCTTCAACTCTCGGTATCTATCTCATTCCGCACTTGTTGTGACGTTGTGAGGTAGGCAGTAAGTTTTCTCTTCACTGCTATATGGCACTCCTTTGTACTTTTGCCTTTTCCAATAACCAATGGTTTCGTTTGCAGCTATACCTAAAGAGCTTGAGATGACATCCTACAGATCAGGTTGCTGATGACTGTGAAAATGCCAACCAAAAACGATGCTCACCATGAATTTGTTCCTCCCAGACAAACCGGCAACGCCAAGTTTTACGTGGAAATCCTTAAGAAACTCAAACGGAGGTTCAATCGGTTCCGGCAGGACATCGCAAACTATTGGAAGTGGCACCACGACAACGCCCCGGCTCAAACCGCCTTTTTTATGAACAGTTAACCGCAGCCGCCCTACAGGCCAGATATGGACGTTGCACCTTGGCTCTCAAGGCTATTCCAGAGAATTCCTTCCGTTACGCCTTTTGTGCTTGGAAATCGCGCTGGCAGCGCTGCATTGACGCGGAAGGAGCGTATTTTGAAAGTTTTTAAAGAATAGTAACGATTGGTTCAATAAATTCTTTTATATCATCTCTATCTGCATCCCAAACATTTTCGAAATCCGGGACCTAGCCAACAAATATGTGTATATGAATTTCACACTTCCGGTTGTGGTTAGAGTTTAAAATGTTCGGTCACACCCGAACTTAGGCATTGCTTATTTATTTTGTTACGTTCTTGGTTTTGTTGGCCAGCACTTACCTGATCCTTTATCTCGAAAAGCCGTAAATAAAATGGAGAATGTTGAATTGATGGCCGCTGGCTCGGCAAAGAAACGAATATTGAGCGTGTTCGAATCGGATGTGATGCCCTCACCAGCAGATCCGCAAAAGTTTTTTTTCCTACGAATAAAAAATAAGGATTTGCTGAAAAACGCAAGCAAAAATAACAAAAACAACAAAATATTTGATGCCATATAAATACATATATATAAAACATTTGTTGCTGTTGTTGTCTTTGATTGGTCACGCTGAATGAGTAAGCAAAGGCGCTACTCGCACAAGCCCACAGCCGCCCACATATTCGTCATATTGCGCTGTCAGCGAGTGTGAGTTTGTCATTTTGTAATTTTATAGTAAAAGTGACAGTGATGATTGAAAGCTATGCATTTATCTGCACACAAGCACACACACGCAGACACACAAACACACCCACACATGTTTGTATGGTTTTTATGCTGCTTGTATTTGCATGTTAAATGAAGTTTGTCGTGATTTTGTGGCCACAATCAAATTGAGCGAGAGCGACAGTAAAATGTTGCCAACATACACACACATACACTAACGTTGAATGCTTCCATTTGCCTATTACTTACTCACCTAAGAGGCATGATGGTTTGTTCGGGAAATATGTCCAAGAAATTCGCTTCACAGTCATTCGGTTTGACTAAACGGAAATCCACGAATTTCATTTGTATCTGCAAATATCAGAAAAGAGAGCAAAAGAAAACGAGAAATTAGTTTTAAGCAAATTTTGGTGCTTGGCGTCGCGGCTAACCTTCCAGTTCTCCTGCACCTGTATGCGCCAAATGCAATCTAGTGGCACTCGATTTTTAATCGCAGTATCACGAATTTCTTCGGGCACATCGGTGGAGTTGACGAAATCCTCGAAACCCGACTTTTCGATTGTGCAGTTCAGATCGGTGGTGGGAGCTGTTGGACAAGCAATTAATACAATTAAAATGCAATAAGAAAATATGAATATACACAAATACATATATGTAATTGAAGTTATTGAAAATAATAAGAAACAAGTAAGGAAGGGCTAAGTTCGGGTGTCACCGAACATTTTACACTCTCGCATGATAAAGTGATAATCGGGATTTCAGGCGTGGTTGTGAACCGATTTCACCCATATTTGGTACATGTCATCAGGGTGTTAAGAAAATATTATATACCGAATTTCATTGAAATCGGTTGAGTACTTCCTGAGATATGGTTTTTGGTCCATAAGTGGGCGACGCCACGCCCATTTTCAATTTAAAAAAAAACCTGGATGCAGCTTCCTTCTGGCATTTCTTCCGTAAAATTTAGTGTTTCTGACGTTTTATGTTAGTCGGTTAGCACACTTTTAGTGATTTTCAACATAACCTTTGTATGGGAGGTGGGCGTGGTTATTGTCCGACTTCTTCCATTTTTGAACTGTATATGGAAAAGCCTAAAAGAAACGACTCTGTACAGTTTGGTTGACATAGCTTTAGTAGTTTTCGAGATATGTACAAAAAAGTTAGTAGGGGCCGGGGCCACGCCCACTTTTCCAAAAAAATTACGTCCAAATATACAACTCCCTAGTGCGATCCTTTGTGCCAAATTTCATTTTAATATCTTTATTTACGGCTTAGTTATGACATTTTATAGGTTTTCGGTTTCCGCCATTTTGTGGGTGTGCCAGTGGGCCGATTTTGCCCATCTTCGAACTTAACCTTCTTATGGAGCCAAGAAATACGTGTACCAAGTTTCATCATGATATCTAAATTTTTACTCAAGTTACAGCTTGCACGGGCAGACGGACGGATGGACAGACAGACATCCGGATTTCAACTCTACTCGTCACCCTGATCACTTTGGTATATATAACCCTATATCTGACTCTTTTAGTTTTAGGACTTACAAACAAACGTTATGTGAACAAAACTATAATACTCTCTTTAGCAACTTTGTTGCGAGAGTATAAAAACGTTAATTTCGTTGTAGGTCAGTTGTATCGTATATTGGTCTAATATCGACGATTGCGACAATTGAGCAGCTTTCTGATAAGAAAGGACGTTCACAAAAAAGCTGATCGATGTCTGAAAAACTTAATTACTAGTTGGGGTATCAGCTGATGATATCGTCCATGCCTCTGCGCCATATAGTAGGACGGGGATGATCAAAGACTCAAAGAGTTTGGCTTTTAGTTTTTGGTCGTCGAGAGAAGACTTTACTTCTCAATTGCCGAGTTAGTCCGAAGTAGCACCTGATGGCAAGAGATATTCTGCATTGGATTTCCAAGCTGACGTTTTTGGTGGTGTTGATGCTGGTTCCAAGATAGACGAAAGTATCTACAACTTCGAAGTTGTGACTGTCAACAGTGACGTAGGTGCCTAGTAGCGAGTGCAACGACTGTTTGTTTGATGACAGGAGCTATTTCGTCTTGCCCTCGCTCACCACCAGACCCATTTGCTTCGCTGCCATATCCATTCTGGAGAAAGCAGAACTAACGGCGCGGGTATTGAGACCAATGATATCAATATCATCGGCGTACGCCAGCTGCTGTATACTCTTATAGAAGATTTTCCCTTATCTATTAAGCTCTGCAGCTCGAATTATTTTCTCCAGCAGTAGATTGAAGAAGTCGTATTTTGCTATCGAAAGGCTCGGAAAGGTCCCCCCCGTTATTGAGGGGGCAATAGTATTTCTCAATGTCAGTTTATACTGCCGTATTAGCGGGGATACCACATTCAGACACCGTGGCATGTAGGCAGAAGCTTTTCGTGCTGTCAAAAGCGGCTTTGAAACCGACGGAGAGGTTGGGGCATGGTGAATATCTGGTAAGTTGTTGGATTTCTAAGCCTAAAGCCATACTGATAAGGTCCAATCAGTTTGTTGACGGTGGGCGTTAACTTTTCACACAATACGATCGATAGAACCTACGCAATGTGGAGGAGGCTTATCCGACGGTAGTTGGTGCAGCTTGTGGGGTTCTCCCTCTAGATGGACAGAGCACACTTAAATTCCATTTGTTGGGCATGCTTTCATCCAACTATAATCTACAAAAAAACTGATGGGTGCTCCTTATCAGTTTTTCGCCGCCGTAGCACAAACTCGCATTATCGCACATCGGAAAGCCTGCTACTAATCTTTTTAAGACATCTAACAAAAAACGACATATTCAATATAAAGTCGACGGTGTTCATCGAGTTACTCCTATCATTTATCGGAGGTTTAAAAGTTATAGCTGATATTTAGATGAAAATTGGCACGATTTTTCTCCGATTATAAATACACTTGCTGATTTAAAAGACTTTACCTGCGCGGGCCACGCCTATTGATCAGTTTTTTAACCGATTCACATTCAAACATGTTGTTATAGATTTTGGATTAAATTTAATGCTACTGACGTTTTTCGTAAGACACTTTCTGTTTTGAACATAACCTGTGGCATTATAATCCATTTTCGAGATTACCCATGAAATCCCAAAGATGTTTTTATTAAGCTTGGTGATTAAAACTATTATAGAACGGAACATTTTTCATTATCAAAAGATGCCAAGTTCATACTTTAAGGAGTTTTCATAAGAACCTCCCAACCAAGTTCCTGCGTGTGACTTGGCATTGGCCTGACGTAACACAATTTTTCTAAAATGGCTACGAGGAGTTTTTAGTTCTAATTCTAACATTACTTACACATCTTTCCCACACAGTTTTTGTTTCTAATAATTATTTATTTATTTTCGGCATTTCAGTTTTATAAGCTATCGGTGCGGTATAAATATTATGCGAAGCAATAATAACTTAAACTCTTTTAGCTTCGTTGCTATAAACTCACCTTCTTTACTGCGATCCATAAATTCGTAAACGGCTGTAAAACCCGAATACTCGATACTCTCATCCGATTGAAAATGCAACCAGAGGTAACGTTCCTTGGATGTGATTTCCGGTGGAAAATCCGTACCACAAAATTTACCGAGTAAGTTCGAGAAGCCGTACTGGCCATCACGTATCTATAAACACACACACAAACGAAATAAAACATACATACTTGTATATGGTTGAGAATGAAATATAAAGCACGAGTATTTACACTACAGTTTAACACTTTATACAAGCAAATGAGCCATATAATTGTGTGCTCTTACCTCGAGAACATCAAATTTGCATTCCTCTTTCGCTTCAATGTGAAATGAATTACGAAAATCTAAACGGATTATCTGTCCTGGCGGCGCTGCAGGAGCCAAAGTAAAGATTGAAAATAAAACATCAGAAAAAAAAACACACACATAATAAGATAAAGTGATACAAAATGTAGCAACCAATCGGTGGAAGTAAACGCCAGCAGCTCAAAAGCTCACGTGTATATAACAACACCCGTGTGTATAGCCACAGGTGGGGGGATTCACAAGGGTTCGATTGAAAAGTTAAGAGGCGCTGGACGGCGTAATAAATCTTTGGATAATTTCTATTGCCAGGGTGTTGAAGTGTTATATATTTTTGTCTTGTAGAGAGATTTCCGATAATGCATTTGTAGAAACGCGTGTTTTCAGCCATCTATTTTTTTAGTATCTGAGCTTCTTCTATTACTCACTGGTATCTAATGTAACCGGAGAAAAGGTCTATAATTTGTAGTGAGAAATCAAAATAGTGGATGCTACTTTACAAGCGCTCTAGAGACTTGAGTTGACTTGAGTCAAAAGCTTTAAGGAGCTTCCAGCAGAGTTGTTGTAATTAAGGAGAATATATATTTTAGTAGTTGCGAATAATACAAGTAATTTCGAACTTATTTTAGGAAAATGATGTCATGTCAGTATCGAAAAAAAAAAATAAGATGATAACCTGGTATGACGGAAGGATTCTGCCTGTGAGGGAATACTTTCTCGAAATTTTGTAATGTAAATAGCAATATAAATGGCCGGAGGAAATTTTAGATTCACTATTTTACTCTTTTTGTATATAGCTAGTGTAAAAGGTAATATCCACTTGAGAATTAAAAAAAAAAGAATGGATGGAAGCTCTAGAGAAAGATTGAAGTGTGAGTATATTGTCGGGGGCTCTCTATCAACTCTTGCTTCAGTTTGTCAGACCACTGCAGTAGTAACTGACATTAAGGTAGCAGCAGATGTACTTATACAGAGTGCGACTTCTTATAGAGTGGTAGCAGAGTTGCTATTCAAGCCTGTGAACTCACTGTCATAGATCTGAATGCTAGTCTAGAAGCAGATGACCTCACCAGCTATGAAATCAAGGTATTCTATATTAAATTTGTCTGTCCTGGCTTATCAAAAGGGAATCGGCGAAAACTGGTCTGCTAATGAGCTTGCAAGAAAGGTCACCCTTACCCAAATCTCAAGTGGATGGAAACGAGCATATGTTCCTTTGCACTAGTGAGGTTGACAAAAGCCTTCTGGCCCAGAGTGTTACACGGAACAACTGGCTCTTAACAAGGTTCACATGGCCGCAATGGCTTCATGAAAAATTAACCTTTTTATCTAATATAACCTCTTAGATATACTTGAACTGTTTTACAATAATTTCAGCTAAGAATCAGAAAAAATTTCCTTGTCGCTAAACACTATTTTTAGAAGACCTTCGGAATCAAAGAAATCCAATAAATTGCCAATTATTAAAGCATACTCAATTCTGTGAAAGTTAGTTGATGTGTTTTTTTTTTTTGTTTTTTTTTTTTTTTGCAAGTGAATATTACTGCTTAGGGATGGAACAATTTTATGAGACCTCCGAGGTAACTGTAACATAAAAAAATTTCAAAATTAAAATTTTTTGTGAACGCAGCGAACCATTATGAAGCCCCTTCACTCCTCACATCTGACTATAAACAGCATCGCATGAATAAAATATGAGATTTATACATATTTAAACGTGACAGGCGTGTATATACCATATAGATACATACACTTATGTATATATACATATATATACTTGTAGCTTTCGCTTTCATGTTCGCGCCTTTATTGTAATGGCAGGTGTGTGATGTGTGCTTTGTCAATTATGTATACACGTGTGCTTTATGTTCGAACCAAACGACGTTAACGCAAGGCCTTGGCGCCCGGGGCGTATGAGTTATGTATGCGTAATTCTTAACATGCAACATGCCGCATCCAACTCTCGACTCATGACTTACCTATAATCACGCGTGTACAACTGATGTTCTTTGGGTAATCGTTCGGATAATCGGGACTGTAGAATTCATTTTTCGCCGCATCACCCTCATTAAACTTGCGGCATTTGTCTATCGGCTCCTCCTCCGCCTGACGCACCCAGCGATTGCGCTGCTGCTTTTGCTGCTGTTGTTGCTGCTTCGCCGACATTTGTACGAGCGCCGCAAAGCTGTGTGTGTTGCCGTAGTTCGCCGCAGCAGCGTGGTCTTTGTTGCCGGCGGCGTCTAAGTATGAGCTGGAAAATTTATGTTGATATTGACGAACCACTTCCATTTCCTCATGCCCTGCCACAATCATTTGCGCATCCGTTTCCGACGTGTGCTTCCATTCGTCGGTGGCGTCGTTGGCGTCGGTTGCTTTGTAATCGTATAGAATGCGCGCTGACTCAAATTGCTTGCTTTGTGTTGTTAGCGTTTTTGTTGTTGTTGGTGTTGGCGTTATTATGAATGTGTCTACTAGTGTTATTCTTGTTGTTGTTGTTGTTGTTGCAGTTATTGGCGTTGTAATGCCATCAACAATGCCGCTGCGATTGCGGTTATTGTTGTTGTTGCTGTTGCTGTTGCTGTTGCTGCTGCTCTTACCGTTGATTGCTATTTGCGTTTGTGCTGTAGCTGTCACATTCGCCAACTCGCCGCCACGTCCCACAGGCGTTGCCACAATCATCGCTGCGGATGCCTGCGTGCTGCCGCTGTCGCCCATCAAAGTATGGCCGATGTATTTTTGCGGTTGCTTTGCGCTTCTATTGCCCGCAACAACAGCCAGTGTCTGTTTGCGTTGCGATTGCTGTTGTTGGTGCTGCTTTTCATGCTGCCAATATTGCTGCTGCTTCTGTTGTTGTTGTTTTTGTTGTTTGTGTTGCCTTTGAAGCAGTTGCTTATATATCATTGTGCCTTTCGCATTTATGCCTCTGACATTTATATTGGCCATGTTGTCAGGCGGCAACTTTATTGTGCTGCCACTGTGTCGCGTTGTGATTGCGCTTGTTGCTATTGTAATTGTGGGCGTCGTCGGTTTACTTGCGGCTAACGTTGTTGCCGTGCTGACGCTTAGCGTTTTTGTTGCTATTGTTGTTGGATTGATTATTGTTGTTGTTTTTGGTTTTATTGTTGTTGTGGTTCTTGCTACTGCTGCTGCTGGGCTTGTTGTGGGGTTTTCGACCATTATTGTCATCGACTGAGGCGTTGAAACCATATGTTCCTTCAGTTCTTGTTCCAGCTCCGGCTCCGGCTCCACCTTCTCCGCCGGAGCCGCTCGATCCGCTAACTGCTGCAATTGCTGATGCCACAGCTCCGGCTTGCTCGGTGCACTAATGTACGTTTTGTCGCTGTTTTTACTGTTCCTGTTGCTGTTCGCAATCACCATATTTGAATGGTAGTTGTTAAGATTATTGTTATTGTTGTTGTTGTTCTTATCGTTGACATTGTACCTGTTGGCGTCAATGAAACCCTTTGCTTCAAGCATTTTCATTGTACGCAATGTATTTGCTTTTGCCATTGTTGTTGTTGTTGTCGACGTTATTGTTGTTTTTGTTATGATTGCTGTTGTTCCTTTGGTTGTCGTTTGTTTATTGTGTTCAGCAAAATTCGTGTGTATATCTGGCGAAACTAGAAGATGTGTGGGTGGAAAGAGAGAGAAAGCGAGTGAGAATACATAAAATACAGTTACTGTCAGTAAAAGTGTGTGAGTGTGTGTGTGTACGAGCGCAATTTGTATGACTTTGCGGCAATGAAATGTTGAAAAATTGCGGACTTGTAAAAATACAAAAACAAACAAAAGTAAACAGAGCAAAATACACAGGTGAGCAGGAGCCACAGCCACAGCCACAACCAGAGCAAGGGCAAAAGCAAGAGAAAGAGCAAGAGCCAGGTGCCGGCAAACAAGTGTTCAATGGCAATTTCCGGCTATTTTCCCACAGCACAACTCTGTAGCTTGTCTGTTATCTCAACGAGCAAGTGTTTCGTGACACGTTCCCTTTTATCTGCCGCCGACCAATATATCTAAAAATATGCGTGAATTTGTGTGCCACACACATACACTCTCGGTTTTTACATTTTTCATTTTTGCTCTGATTTTGCTCTGAGAGAATGTAAATATTGCTGGCTTCGGCCAGTCATAATTTAAGTGAAGAGCGCAGCAGCAAAGGAGAATTGCAAATATTTGTATAAACACATTTATAACGCTTCCTTCCACCTTTCCTGTATTAGTTTAGCTTTGAAAATATGCTATTTGCAAGTCAATATGGCGAGAATTTAAATCAATTGCACTGCATAACTACTAAATTATTCATTTTGATGTGCCCAAGGAGGACAAAGTATTTCTACAGGGGAACCTGCTTAACAGTGACGATTAAATATGGGAAATTTGTGTGTTTCAATATCTACATATGGGCCTTTCAGGTTATTCAATAAGTTTTGTCGTTAAAAAAAAGGCGTTGGTACTAGCTAACTTTATGTTGTTGATACACTCTTCTTGTGAACGTGTCCGAAGTTTAATTTAAATCCGTCAATTCATTCTTTGTTTACAAGACATTTCGTGTCGAAACTATTTTTTTACAATTGAATATCGTGCAGCGATAAAATACTTATTTTTGGAAGGTGTTATAGCACCAAAAGAAATTCATGGACGAATGTTAAAAGTGCATAATGATTGTTCACCTATAATTAGAGGCGTAGAAAGATGGGTTGCTGAATTTAAACGTGGTCGTACAAGCATTGAAGACGATCCGCGTGGAAGACGTCCAAAAAGCGCATCAACGCCAGAAATTGTAGCCAAAATACAGGATATGGTTTTGGAAGATCGTCGATTGACTGAGAGAGATTTAGTAGAGGCTATGCACATCTCATTAGGCAGTGCGAGCCATAATTTAAATGAAATTTTGGGTTTTAAAAAGCTGTGTGCATAATAGGTGCCGCATTCGTTAACAATGGAGCAAAACGCTTTCGAATGAGACCTTCTCAGCAACATTTGGAGCGTTTTAAAAAAGATAAAGTGGATTTTGTGCATCGATTAATTACTATGGATGAGCTTTGGGTCTATCATCATGATCCTGAATCAAAACAAGAGGCCAAAGAGTGGTGTGAACCTGTTTTTTCGGCTTCCAAACGAGTTCGCGTGCGGAAATCGGTCAAGAAGGTTTTTGGAATGCGAGAAGAATTTTGTTTGTGGATTACTTGCAAACCGGTAAAATAATTAATTTTGAATATTATTGCAACCTATTGGATCAGTTGAAAAAAAAAATTCGTGGAAAAAATCCGGTTTGCAGAAGAAAAAATCTTTTTCCAATAGGACAATGCACCGTCTCACAAGAGCATGTTGACAATGGGTAAAAAAATGGAATTAAGCTTGAATTGTTGGAGCGCGGTGGATAATTAACCAGATTTGGCCCCAAGCAACTTCCATTTGTTTCATGCATTCGTGACAAGCGTTTTTCATCAAACGAAAAGGTCATAACGGTTGTGGAAGCGTGTTTTGTAGACCTAACGGATTCTCACTTCAGGGATTCACAATATAGTGTGTTTTGAATCATAAAGCCCCACATTTTTGATAGTGAAATATTCAGTAGCGAATTTGAACTCTTTAGATATGACCGGCTGAACAAGCAAGGTGGTGGTGTCTTGTTTGCTGTTCATTCTTCAATTCCATCTGAAGAAGTCGATGTTTCGCATGCACACTTCATAGAATTTAAATGCATTTGTATTTGCGCTAATAGTGGCCACATATACTTAACTTTATCTTATATACCGCCCCACTCGGACATATCTGTATATCTGCAGCATGCTTCATTAATAAATAATGTTTTCTCAACGGCTAATAATACTGATTCCATGATTGTTTTGGGGGACTTCAATTTACCGTGCGTATCATGGAAATCTATTGATGACTACACCATTCCTATTAGTACTCGCTTGTGTTTTAATGAGTTCTTAGATAAAATGTTGGAGTTGGGTTTTAACCAAATTAATTTAATTTCGAACGAGTTTGGTAAGTTCTTAGATCTAGTCTATGTTGATAACGCTTCAATGTTCTCTGTTGTCCGATGTGATCCTTTGGTTCGGCCAGAGGACTCGTATCATCCTGCTTTGGAAACTAACATCGAAACCATAGCCAACTTTGCTCATAATAATACACAAGACCTTT